CCATTCTGCAGGAGAAGAAGGAGAAGAAGGAGGCCAAGAAGAAGGCCTTGAAGGAGGAGCAGGCGGCCAAACTGAAGAAGATAGAGGAAGAGATGGCCAAAGAGAAGGAAAGGATACAAAAAGAAGAAGAAGAGAAGTTGAAAGAGGTGGAAGAGGAGGAAGAAGATGAAACGCCATTGCAGAGGAAGAAGGTGCAGTACAGTGGTAGTAGGRATGAAGAGATGGAGAAGCGAATCTCCGAGTGGGTCGCCAACTTATCCCTGGGCGAAGAAGAAGAGGTGGCGATGTATATCTCTAAAGATGATTAGGAAGCCGCTATGAGAGCTTGGGAAGCAGAAAAGGATGTTGTGAAGCGGCAGGCATTGGAAGACGAAAAGAGGATGGAGTGAAAGTTGGCAGTGATGAGGGAGAAGAAGAGGAGAGTGGACGCGGCAGCGGAGGCGGCAAAAGAATTAGAGGAAGTAAAGAATATAGAAGAGCAACTGGCCGCCCAGACCGAACTCCCAGCGCAAATGCGAGTCATAGCCCGAAACGTTGCACGCCTGGCACGAATTCAGGTGGAGCAATATGATTTTAGTAGGAGTCAACACATAGCTGTGCGTTCCATAAAGTTGGGGTTTTGGGACTTTGCGCGTGAGCTGGTAGGCGCTATAGGGACCGAGTTGGGTCACCGCCTCGACAAGACTGAGCGGTTCTGTGCCGGCGCCATTGAGGGCGTCAAAGCGGTAGCTCCCAAGGAGGAGGAGGCACGTCCTTCTCGTCGGGAACCGGTCAAAGTCAAATTCCCTGATTCCTACAGTGGAAAAAGGGAAGAGAACTTCAACAATTGGGAGGCCAATGTCAAGACCTATGTGCATCTGCAACAGGTCTCCCCGGATCAGCAGGTTATGATTGCGATTCACGTGCTCAGAGATGAAGCCGCCAGCTTTGCAAGGTCCCTAGTTCGCGCTGCCAATTGCAGCGATGGCCCCGTTGCGTACTCCTCGTTCACTTCCCTCACCGAGTTCTTGAAGCTGTTGCGCGAGAGGTTCGCCGATGTCGCCCGTAGTGTTAAGGCCTCAGACAGGCTGTAGACGATTCACGCTCGTAAGTGGAAGAGCGCCATGGCACTTAAGAGTACCATGGACGAACTGGTAGATGTCCCTGACCACGGAGTTACAGACACCCAGTTGGTTGGCCTCTTTTATCGGGCTATACCCGAAGCCCTCCGAGGGCATTTCTTCGCAAAGAGCGAAGACCCTGCCACTACATACGATTCCCTTAGTCGCGAAGTAGTGGCTTTTGAAGCCAAGTCTGCGTCTGTGTCCACTTTCTGGCACAAGGACTTGGACAAGGGTAAGCAATGGAAGGGCCGCACTATCTCAGGGCAAGTAAAGACCAAGGACAACCTTGTCCTAACCTTAGATGAGGGTAGTGTGGATGAGATCCCCTACGACCAGATTGGGTGGGGGTTAGAGGAGGAGGACAGCGGTGTGGGCCAAGGGAGATCTTACGCTGCTGTCGCGGCTGGAGGGAGGCCGCAAGGAGGAAGAGGCCAGGGCCAAGGGGGCCGGGCCTCAGGGAGTCGATTTCAGGGCGATCAGGGGGTTGGCGGCAGAGGAGGAAACCGCCAAG